AAAAAACAAACTTGATGATTCACTTCTTTCACATTATCTTGGATTTATCACAAAACGATGATTTGAAGAGCAGAACTAAATTTTCCATTGAGGTTTCAGGCTGCAGGAAACTATCCTGCCGGCTTAATTGTCATATTAAAAGCAAAAGGAAAGGAAAAGCCGGAGCAGTGTCGATGCGTTTTTAGACCCATATTGAAGAAGAATTTTGATTGCGTAGTATTTAAAGAACTTGGCAGTTGAGGCAGTTTTAATTCCATTTTTATTTCCAGCTGATATTTGTGGCCACAATCACTTGGCACTCTAGTCGTGCCTTTCCACAGAAGATTTACATTTTTGATATTGTTGAGATAGAAAGCAAGCCAGCGAAATTACATCTTAGCAGAGTAGAGGGCAAAAGCTGAAGTGCGTAGTTATGAAAGATGGAAGCACGCGAAGAGAAAAGTTTTGGTTTACAATTCGGTGATTGGTTGTCAAGAGGCATCTGGTATTAACGGTTATGTAAGATCGCATGATTAATCTGAATGACGCAATGCAGATAAGTTATTACGATTTTAGAATAGAGAGGAAGAATTAATGTTTTATAGTTATATTATAATTCTGATTCATACATTTTTATCTTACATATTCCCCCCTTCAAAAAGAAAAAGGCGTAGCGACAGAGAAGCCTTTTTAAAGAGAAAGAGTTAAAGCACTAGCAAATCAAAAAGAAAAACATAAATCATAAAATTTTGATTCTATAAAAGTATAATTTATAAATATCAATTTTTTTAAAATAAATTTTTAATTTTTAGAGTCCTATTGCCTTAATATGTAGGATAAAAATGTATGAATCAGAATTATAATATAACTATAAACATTAATTCTTCCTCTCTATTCTAAAATCGTAATAACTTATCTGCATTGCGTCATTCAGATTAATCATGCGATCTTACATAACCGTTAATACCAGATGCCTCTTGACAACCAATCACCGAATTGTAAACCAAAACTTTTCTCTTCGCGTGCTTCCATCTTTCATAACTACGCACTTCAGCTTTTGCCCTCTACTCTGCTAAGATGTAATTTCGCTGGCTTGCTTTCTATCTCAACAATATCAAAAATGTAAATCTTCTGTGGAAAGGCACGACTAGAGTGCCAAGTGATTGTGGCCACAAATATCAGCTGGCAATAAAAAATGGAATTAAAACTGCCTCGACTGCCAAGTTCTTTAAATACTACGCAATCAAAATTCTTCTTCAATATGGGTCTAATCACGCATCGACACTGCTCCGGCTTTTCCTTTCCTTGTGCTTTTAATATGACATATATATATACTTTTGGTGCAACCGACTGTGATCAAAAAGGAAGGTGCACAACTACATGTTATAGCAGTCCTATACCGAAAATTTCAATGTTCTGAGGCTATTCATTTTTGAGTTATGCGAGATAGTACAGACACCATGAAAAAGTCTCCTCTGAACCCATTTTAAATCAGTTTTATAATTTGTTTGGTGAAAAAAAGTCCTTTATTCAGCCCATACGTACAGATGTCGTGGAAAAACATTGTTAAATTGCATTCAATAGCGATCAAAATTGATATTTTCTTTGAAATATGATAACCAGAATTTTTCGTGATTACAATATTTCCTTTACTTCATACAAAGAAGTAAAAAGAAAAGAAAAAATAAAATATTACTTACATTTTAATTAAGAAAGGAATTTTTTTAATTTTAATATTAAATTAAAGCAGATGAAAATGAGAAATAGAAAATATTTTTGTTTTAGAACAAATATACAAAATCAGTTGATTCAGGGAAGGAGGAACGTCAAGGAGGATAGTAAATTAACATTGAAAATTCTTCACCTACATGACTATACTAGGACTAAAGAAGAATTTTTTGAAATTAGAAATTTAAAAAAAAAAAAATATTTTAATTTTATTATGGAGGACTTTTATTATGAATAAGTGTAACTCTGAGTAGGTGAATTTCTTTAAGAAAGTCTTCAATTCCTCTGCAAACTTTTTCAATTCTTAAAATCTGGTTAATTTTTGTGCTGGGAATTACTCTTTTACAGACATATTTGATTCCAGTTTATTGGGTATTAAAGGTTAAACAGCTTTTTATTTTTTCATCAAAAAGTATATTTTTGTTATATCCAGTTCTGTTATTTCTGTACTTATGTTACCTGTTAAAATTTTTTAATTTTCTTTTATTTAGTACATATTTTCATTCAGGTTGCACTGAAGCAGGTTATATATTTTTTTTAAATATTTAAATTTTGAATTACTATATTCTCATTCAATTATTTTAAATTTTAATTTTAAAAAAATCTGGTGTGGGAACTATATGCCATTCTTGTATGATATTCATTTACAAATTTATTCATTTTTTCTGTCACAAAGAGTCAAATTTCTTTTATTTTTATTTTTTCATAACAAGTTTCCAAATATAAGAACAAGGAGACTGCAATAAAAGTTAGATTTTATTATACAGTCAAAAGTATTTAATCCGGACATCCATAATCCAGAATGACCAATAATCCGGACCTCAAAGCTACGAACTTTCTGCGCATGCGCATAATACCTTTACGCATGTGCATATGTGTTTACGCAAGCACATAATACGTTTACGCATGCACGTTTAATGTATAACAGACGGTATAAGCTAAGCTAAAATGATCTAATTATCTACTTCAGTTAATGTTGCAAATTGCGTTGTTCCTTAATCTTCGAATTGGATCCAGCTTATTATTTTTGTCAGACTGTTAGAGCAATTTTATAAAAGCAAGCTTAAACTTTCGATTATGTCAAAAAGAATTTCTGATTTTGGAGCTGCCAAAGGATCTACAAAGCGAAAGCATGTTTCGATGTCCATCAAACAAAAAGTGGAATTGCTGCAAAAAATGGATAAAGGCATATCCTTTGTTTCTCTAACCATTCCGAAATATGCTTATCAATTTCATGCTGCTCTGCGGGGGGGGGGGGTGACATCGCGGCGCGCAATGAACTGGAAGTTGATCTGTCAGCACTATCCTTATCTTCAAGGCAGACGTTTTTATTTTATTCGGCTTATAATTCCTTACTGAATGTAGTATTTCATCTCGATGTACCTCATCTTTGATATGATTTAAATCAAATTCCTCGTCATTATAAATATCACGAATACACATCAAATAGTTTTCTGGTTGCAATTTTCTAATTTTGACTATGCGTAATGTATGCTCTATGCTGTGCAAGTTGAAAGAAATGTTTAATAAAGTAAACAAATAAATATTAAGCTTTTTTTTTTTGTAAATTTTGATACCCTTTAGATCATAATTGCTCTTTATTTCATAAATTACGGTTCCATATTTTTAATTTTATAATTTCTGCATGCCATCTTACCAGATTTAAACTGATGATCTATAATCCGGAAAAACCGAAAATCCAGAATCACCAAAGTCCCAACGAGTCTGTATTAAAGACTTTTGACTGTATGTCCAAAATGTACTTTTTTTTTTTTTTTTTTTTTTTTTTTTTTTTTTTTTTTTTTTTTTAAGTATGTTTTGAAATTGCCAAAAAAGGAATACTTTCATCATCTGAAACACTACTGTAACTAGAAGTCCAAGTCCATGTCCATGACTAACTACTGTGAAAAATAAAGGCTGGATAAGAACTTCAAGCTGGGTAAGGGTGTGTTCTGCGTGTATAAATATTTAGATACTGCCGATTGCAATAAAAATGAAAGATGCACAGCTATATCATATAGCAGTTCCATATACAAAATTTCAGTGTTCTACGGCAAATCATTTTTGAGTCATGAGACATATGTACAGACATCACGAAAAAAATCCATTTTGGAATAAATGGATTTTTTTATTATATATCTAGCTTAATCAGTCTTTTATTATATATCTAGCTTAATAATTTGGAATCTATCTCTAGAATCTGGAATAAAGAGTCTGTACATACAGATGTCATGCTAAAACAAATAGTCAAAATGGATATTTCCTTCAAAATCTGCAACCCAAAATTTTCAAACCCACAATACTTCGTTTACTTCATACAAGGAAGTAAAAAGAATTCCTTTGATTAATCTCCTTTCCTTTATATAGATATTATTCAGAAATATGCCTCTGACAATAACCATTTTAGCTGCTTCTTGATAAAGACCAAGGAATAATCAAATATTATTCAAAATATACTAAATATTATGTTGTATTTAATGACTGTTTTATTTTTATATTAAATGTTAATAATTAATATAGAAATAAAACAACTCCTTGTTCTTATATTTATTTTACTTATTTAGTATTGTATTAGCAAACATTACTAAATAAGCATTTATTTAGTACTTTTGTTTACTTTCAATATTATCTTCCAAGTTATTGTTCCAATTGCTTTTAATTTGTGCCCTCCTGTTAAGATAGTTTGGTGATAACTTTAAGGATAGATTCAAAGCAATTGTTCTTTCAATTTTGTGAGAAATAATGTATTACTGTACGAATATTACTGTTATTTCTTCAATTTCCGGAAAGTACCACAAAAGCATATTTTAAAACTCAGTTCAAGACTAAAATCAACAATATTTGACAACAAAAGCCATTGGAATTTAGAACACAAGAAAACATGAAAAATGATGTTTGTTAAAATTGAAGAATTATTATGTGCATGGTTGCCAGTCTGGGACATTCAGACAATTTGGCATCTTCAATTAATGTGGTTAAGTTAACAATATCCAATAAATATAAACACGTTTTCTTAAATTAGTGATTAATTTGCAATACAACTAGCTATTTTCATAGCTGGTAAATATGGTGGAAACATCTATCTATCTATCTATCTATAGATTAACTAACGCTAGTAAATAAATAAATTAAATTAATAACTTCACTACAAGAAATGAAGTATTTTGCTAGGTAAGAAGAAATTCTTTTTTTTAACATATGACTGCACAAAATTTGTTAAAAAATGCCATTTTCAACAAACTTATAATTTACTATTACAAAATGTAAATAAACACGAACACAGCATAACTTACTTTGAACAAAACACTTGCATATAATGGCACAAACAACAGAAAAACTTGTATTTGAAACTCCTTTTTTTGTGTTGCAAATAATGAGGCTCTAATAAAGAATCATCTTCTCCAGCTTCAAATCCTTCATCACTACTTAAAATGTTCTCTGCAGATTCATTTATAATATGATGCCTAAAGAATTAATAAAAATACATACAATTAAAAGATATTTATAAACTTTAAAAAACAGCCGGTTACTGCTCTTAAATGTGCCCTCAGGTAGCCAAATGCGGTATGCGGTGATGTGTGTTGTGCGCTGGTTTTTGGCGCAATTGCATGTTCTGCGATGGTTTTGGGGATGATGTTGGTTTCTATGGCAACCCTTTTTACATGGAAACTTGATGCAACGAAAGACGTGATGGCAAAATTTTAGTCGTGTGCCTGGTACAACTATTTTTTCGGGTGGCTGAAAATTCTACAGGTATTTAGGAGGAGAAGGTTTTGAACATTTATTTGAGAAACACAGTATCAATTTTGTGGATAGTGAGTCTGGCTGTCATATAAATATAATAGAGATTACGTGGCGGCATGTTAAAGCTACGTTGCCTACTTATAATCAAAACGCAATTTTGCGTTTTATTTGGTGGTTTACATATTTTTCCATCGTTGTTCTGAAATGAGAGAAAATGCTTTTAACAAATTTGTGGTGAAATTGTTTTGGTGAGGTTTGATATTGGTATTTCTGCTGTTCGGAGAAGCATTCGTTCATGATAAGTACATTGTATTTTATTCTTGTTCTTATTTTGTAGAATGTTATGTTCATTTTTTTAATATGAATTTCTGTCATTATTGTTGTTTTTTTTTTTTAATTGTTTGAAATGTATTTTAGTTTATTTTGTCAATTAGTGTGCAATGCCTACATTGTGCAATTCGTAGATGTCTTTTAAAGTTTAAACAGACCACTGTGTACATGGTATTCTTGAAATTTATTGTCGTTATGTTAATTTATTAAAGCGAGGTGTGCATAGTTCATAGATTCCCTTGCTGCCCAGATTGTGCAATTCATAGATGCTCTTTTAAGTTTAAACAGAACGCTGTGTACATGGTATTCTTTGAAATTTATTGTTGTTAATTTATTTAAGCAAGGTGTGGGTAGTTCGTAGATTCCTTTGCTGCATCAATTGTGCAATTCTGTGATGTTTTAAGTTAAAACATATCGTTGTGTACATGGATTCTTGTCAAATATTTTTGGTTAGAAACTTCATGTTTTTGCTATCCAAATTTTTTCTTTTTGTTTCAGGTTTTTAGCTTAAATTGTGTGTTTAAAACATGGTTTTTGCACGTGCGAAAATCGCGTTTTTGCAGACATTTTAGGCTTAAAGTTTGAAATGTAAACAAAAAAAATTTAGGTAGTAATATGGCGGTGTGGAGTTTCTCGCCAAAAATTTTTGGTGAGAAATTTGCCACCAACCGAGAGAGTATATGAGAGTAGTTCCAAACAGCCTAATATAACTCTTCAGAACCATTTATTACACAAGGTAATTCAAATTCATCTGATTAAAAATTTTTATAATGTGAAGGCAATATGAAAGCTTTACACAAATGTGATCCATTTGTTAATAGTCGTCATTTCAAAAACAGCAGAAGCTCATTTTCAAATTTAATTTAGGTTTGAAGGCTTAGGTGAGAATGGCTTCTGAGATTTCATATACCCCCAAAGGAAGAAGTCTTTAGAAAGAAGCAATTATCTGGAAGCCTAGCAAACCAGCTATTTAAAACTAATTCTTTAATCCATTACATACAATTCACATGATGCAAACAAAAAATTTCTGCTGTTTAGAAGCTATTTTCACTTTTCCTTGAAAAGAATTTTTAAATGATAAACTAATGCCCTCTGGTATTTCTATATTAAAGGCCAGAAGTAATCCTTTGATATCTGTTTAATATTTAACTATTTAATTTATAGAACTCTAAGAAATGAAACTAGATAATTCTTCCTGAATTCCAAAAAGCCTAACAAGCCAGGTGTTTAAAACCAATTCTTTAATCCACTACGTACAATTCACAACATGCAAATAACACTGGAAAATCTGTTTTGCTGTTTAGATGCTACATTCACTTTTCCTCAATTTTTTTTTAATGACAAACTAACACCCTCTATTGTTTTTATATTAAAACTCAGAAATAATCCTTTGATATCTGTTTAATATTTACCATTTTATTTTGTTAATTTTTAAAAGTTTAAAAATAGAATTATCCAAAGTAAGATTCTTATTTTAAAATAAGCATAGCAAAAACACGACAGACTTAGTCCAGTCACTACCTTTGGACTTACATTCATCAGCAACTTGATCGTTAATACTTTGTTCCCTACAATAACGTATACAATTCACACTTTAATTACCTCAAAAAAATTGGAGAAAAACATAAAACATATTTCTGATTTTGAAAGAAACTAATTTCAGATGATTTAAACAAAAAATACCTGATTATATTAAAAAAAAATGTGAATACATATAACTGAAAGAGATTAATAGTTTTGATTAATAACACATGAAGATATTCTGGCATCTTTGATAAAAGCTTACACCGGCCTATGTAGCATTGACACATCAAGCTGTTTACCTCTTGACATTAGGTGAGCAGCTTATTTAAACCAATTTTTTGGCAAGCCATGGAGACAATGACTTAGTTACCAGTTCATATAGCTACCAATGCATTTACTGTATCATGATTGTTGTTAAGTTTTGACTACAGTTATAAAGAATGAAAATAAAAAATTTAGACTGTCCTTAACACATTTGCGTCTAAGGGGTTATATAAGCCCCATAGCATATTAAAAAAATTCGAAAGGGAAATGCTTCTATAACAAACGCCTGAGTCTGTGTCCCACTGGAGTATTGGACTTTGACTAAAGGTTCCCTCTCAATTTCATCATGCTCTCCGAGTCAGTCTACATCCAGCAACAAAGTGAATGTGTCCTAAATTATACCTTCAAGTCTGTTTATTGTTTTTTTATTCTTGTTTTACTGTAAATTGGCGGCTAAAACTGCAAATTACTTTTGAAATGAAAAGGTACATCCTTTATTATATTTTTATTCCCTTTTTGCTGAAAATTTCAACATGGGACATATACGTCCCTCTTAAATTCTCATTGGAGATAAATGTGACCCAGCTGGTTTTTGTTGTTTGTGTGCTCAAAAATAAAAATATGTCCAGTACAAAATCCAAAATCCGGACTCTTCGGGATTTTGAAAGGGTCAGGTTAACTTTAAATTTGCTTTTTATGAAATGAGAATGTTTGTTAAATGCATACATATATTTTCAGAAAGAGGAAGAGAACAACAACAGCTTGCTAATCATTTTGGGGACGAGTCAAGATGATGCGAATCCGTTTCACAATAAAGTGGTTCCAAACATGTCCCTCCCACTACAGAGATGACTTCAGAATCCAACAAGGACGAAAGTAATTGGTTAAACCCCTTGTATCATAACAAAGTTGTTGTTTCATTTATGGTAATCTGAGTAGTTTGAATGTTATGGAAACCCTATTGACGTAATCATTTGTATTACTATAGGAAATTTTGAATCATGGGATGTTTTGTAAGAGCTTTTGTCATGTGTGTGGTTAGGAAGTACATTGCTTGTTTCATTGTTTAGTCGGTAGAATGGCTGAATGTAGTAAGATTAATTTGAAGTTTCTTTACGATTTGGAATGAAAGGAGAAAAGTGCATTAATTGGCTGGTGTGTAAATGAAGGTTTACTTAGTATCCATTTTCCTGACAGTCCGGAATACATAGGATATGTTTTACTCTTATTTTGTGAATTTAAGTGGCAACGCCGATAGACAGATTCTAGTTCAGATAATTTTAAGAAGTTTTTGGATGCTGTTAAAAACTTCTTAAAAATGTGTGCCATAGAGGTAAGTGGATATTTGCTTTGTGTAATGCTTAAATGCATAACAGGTTTTTCTTTTTTTATGTTATTTTATTGTTTGGTTTAAAATGTAGTTTATTGAGATTATGTATTTTTTGTTTGCCTCTATTGTAGAGTTGGCTGCTCCTTTGACTTTTAAGTGAAAACATATCGATGTGTACATGGACAAACTCCAGGGAGTGCGCAAAGCCTAGTTTGTGCAATTGTCTGATTTGTTTTTAAGTGAAAGTAGGTCAATGTTTACATGGATAAAGTCAAGGGAGTGGGCGATGACATTTTTGTGCAATTCTGGGATTTTTTTTTAAGTGAAAATAGGTCAATGTGTACATGGATACTGAGTTTTTGCAATTCTTTGTCTTGTAATTTTAGCTTTGTGTATTTTTGGCACAAAAATCGCCACTATGCAAGCCAAAATAACAAGACAAGGACTTGCACAAATTTGGTATTCATGTACCGCCAAAAATTGCCAAGGGGTACCTAAAATATACTTTTACCAAGTAATTTTCTTCAGGAGAATCTGGAAAACTCAAGTAATGATAAAAAAAAAATAATAAAATAAAAAAATATCGAACCAGAAGTTAATGGCAGGACCTAAGGAAACCTAAAGGAACATTTATGTCTCAAGCGAATTTTTTTTTTAACGTAAAATAAAAAAATAAAAAAACCATTGTTCGATAAAAGTTTACAATTGGGTGGCCCTTTTTTTTTTTTTTTTTTTTTTTTTGCGATTCCTTTTTGACACCAAAATTGGTGCCAGAAAGGCCCGATTTCAAGATGGCCGCTATACAAAACGAAAAAAAGAAGTCGAAGAATTGCATAAAGTCGGTGTCCATGTACACATCGATCTATTTTCACTTAAAAAAACAATCAGAGAATTGCACAAACTAGGCCCTGTCACTGCCTTTGTCCATGTACACATCGATCTATTTTCACTTAAAAAAAAAAGTCAAAAAGCTAAAACAAAGTTAAAATTATCATGGTAACCAGAAATGGGGTTTCATCGCCAAAATTGAGCAAAATATGTTGCTAATCAAAGAAGCATCCAATTCTACACTAGAGGCCATTGTTCTTGTTTGTGTTGTCATTTTATTATTCAATTCAAAAAAATAAAAATTTTTATAAATCAAAAAATCGACATGAATCATATATGCTTACAAATAAAATTTTAAAATGTTCATAATTATTATATTTTTCTCTCTTAAAATGTTTTAATATCTTTATGTTTCAAAACATACATAAATTACACAGATATAAAATGATACATGATTTTTACACATAAGAGATTATTTATAACTAGATTATCAAACTGAAACAAACTTCAAATTATAACTATGGACTTGAAATTTGAAAAAAAGAAAATAACATAAGTCCAATAATCTACAAATGGGACTTTATCAGACTGCACACTTGAAATTGCATAATGCCATAGTAAAATATTTCTTGCATTACTGAAAAACAGTTATATGCAATATTTCTACAAACATATTAATGGGTAAAACTCATTAACAATTAAATTTACTCACACCTGAATTTTCTTTGATCAATTTTTAAAGTCATTAGTATTGCACAAAGTCTTTTTAAATAGAGTTCAAATGTTTATGGATTTTACTTTAAAAATTTTCCGGTACTATTCAGTTTCGAGGGCCGTAAAAAATCGTCAAACTATTGTTGATGCCAATGCTGCCAAAAATAATTGTGGCAAGAAAGGAAGTATAATAGTAAATAACTATTTAAGATTGATTTTTATTTAGATGAAGGTTAATTTCATATAATACTTTTTATTATTATAATATGAAAAAGGCTAAACTGACTGAAGGAAGCATAAGAGTAAATAACTATTTCATATAATTATTATAATTTACTAAAAATTGCTAAACAACTGAATGGATGCCTTGCATCGCTATTTCGCTCCGTCTTTCGCTAAAGCATATTTCATCTTGTTGGTTGTTCAAACGTATTTTCTATAATGAACAATGCCTTTTCTTTGAAAATTTCTCGTAAAGTGCAGAATCGCTCAATTATTGTTTGCCGCTTTTTACAATTAAAAACAATTGGATTTTGTCAATTTCTTTTACTTTTTAAGTGAAAATAGGTCGATGTGTGTACATAGATAAAGTCAAAGGTGTGCACAGTGCCATTTTTGTGCAATTCTAGAATTTTTTTTTAAGTGAAAATAGGTCGATGTGCACATGGATACCAAGTATGTGCAATTCTTTGCAGTGGGTGATTCTGCACTTTACCCAAAATTCTATTTCCGAGTTTTCATCATGGGCAATTCCAATATTGTTAAATCCATAGGATATCAAAAAAGGATTTAAAATCAAAAAAGGATTTAAAAATTAAACTAGTATTTCAATGGCGTCTTAAGAAATATAGAACTATATAAACTTACGCTGTTAAATGGACGCGTTTGCTAGATTTGGCGCTTTTGCGCGTACAATTTCGCTGCAATTTTTTTACGGCCCTCGAAACCGAATAGTACCAATTTTCTTCATTAAAGCAGCTACCAAATAAAAATAGGGATGCATTTGACTTGTGCACATTGCAGATCAAGGAATTAACTCCACCAGCTGTGAAAAAATAGAAAGTAGTGACTGCTTTAACAAGGAAAAAATTAAAAAAAAAAAAAAAATCACAGAATATGAGTAGTCATTATTTCTCAAATATTTTATTTTATTAGTGTTTTTTAAAAAGTTTCATGGCTCTAGTGTAGAATTGGGTGGCCCTTCGATTGGCAACATTTTTTTTTAAATTTTGCCGGTGAAACCTCTTTTCTGGTAACCACGACAGCTTTAACTTTGTTTTAGCTTCCCAATTTTATTTAAATGAAAATAGATTGATGTGTACATGGACATATTTAAAGCAGTGCGCAATGCCTAGTTTGTGCAATTCTAGGATTTTTTAATAAAAACAGATCGATTTACATGGACACAGATCTTGTGCAATTCTTTGACTTCTTATTTTGGTTTTGTGCAGCGGCCATCTTGAAATTGTGCCTTCCTGGCACCGATCTTGGCATCAAAAAAGAATTTCCAATAAACAAGGGGCACCCAATTGTAAACTTTTACCAGTTTCACAAATAATTTAATGTTTCCATCTCAAATGATCTTGGTTTAATCTTCCTCATCATTCCTTATTTCTTTTACTACCTGCTTCTTTGACTTAATACAATTTGAATTATTATGTCGTCATTTAACTCTTCTTTAGAGTTAATAGTTAAATAACTTACAGCTCAGCATTTGTAAACAGGCTCCTTCTACAACTGTTGACTTTTTATCACTTTTGATTCACTTGATTACTTCATTTTCTGATAGCATGATTAAGAGATTGATCAAAGACAAGCTTTTTTTTTTTTCAATAAATTAGAGTGCTTGACATTATTAATAGTTTCACTTTTTTCAATAGTATGTTGTCTTAATATAGAAACACACAATACATTGAAGAAACAATACTATGGATTTGAAATTTGAAAAAAAGAAAATAACATAAGCTTTCACTAAATTTCTATGAGAAAAAATGTTGGTAAGACATAAACAAAAAATTAAAGTATTTGACATTAAGAAAACTATTTCAAAGAATACATAAAAGATAAAAGTGAAATTTTTACTGGTAAATTAGATGCAAAGTTTAACGAGTTTCTGTAAAATGACTTCTGAATAATTACATTGTCGATTAATAAATATAAATCATTTGATACTGAAATGACACTTTTAACAACTTAAAACAGAATTTTCTCTGCTTTTTATAATGAAAACTGAGTGCAACCCAACAGTGGGAATGCAATTATTGTACATATAACAATAATTGAATAAATATTTCACACAATTATTTACTTTTTGGCAGGCATAAATATATTTTAATAAAACTTATTGAAACTACCTTTAACATGAAGAAATTTAAATTTTCAACTGTATAGTACACGTACTTTGAAATTTAGTACTTAATCTTTAAAATTTTTTATAATCACCATTTCCTTAGCAATACAATTAATTTTTTGAGATACACTATATCAAAACTGAAGAATTTAAAATAAACATTTAAACAATTCACTATAAAGAAGTTTAAGAAATAAAAATTTTTCTAACTTAAGATGACGTTTTACACAGAACTGAAATCAAATTTAATTTTTTATACATCTGATAAAATAATTTTTTATTATAAATATATATGTTTAAAGATATATTCTGCGTATTAATATATATGTAGAAGCATAAAAATTTATCTAACATCAGTAAAAAAAATGCAACTTTTAAAAGCGCACCGTATTTAATCATACGCTTTAAAACATCAAATCATCCAATCTCATAGTTACCTAGACCGATCTCTAAGACTTATACTCTCTGCTTCACCTTCCACAGAAAATTTATGAGTCATCATTTCGCTTCTCGGCGTTAATAATTTTGGCATTCACCATTATGTACTATTTGTATGACATCACAAAACCACCTGTCAGTTTCTTTAGGTGTTTAAGTGCAATGGTATATTCACGTGATGTTTTCAGATGATCTTTGAATCACATTAACGTATAACCACTGAGCTCTCTGGCTCAGAAAACGGTTAATTCAGATTACCACTTTCTATTTATCACTTTTGGAAGATGATGATGAAAATTTAATTAAATTTCTTTTAATGCGATGTTAGTTCGAAAGTAAACACACAGTTCACCTCAATATAAAATAAATACTACTGTAAAGAATATCAAACCAAGCTATAAAAAATAGAAAGAAATTTTTAAAAATGACAGTGGATTCTAAATAAATCCCTCTCTTTGATTTACAGAATGATTATCTCAGTATCTCATAAAGTTTTCAAAATTAACTTAAAACAATAAGGTAAAAATGACCTACTCACTTCATTTCTTTCCATCGAAAGTGAAACTAAAAAAGCACTAATGTGGCCTCGCATGAATGTCTTTAAAGTGTAGCCTCTAGGCAAAGTGACCAATGACCTTAATTCATATAGTTATTAATTATTACAACATCGCATTATAAATATTTTGATACTGAAAAACGTATGCATGAAAGAAAGAAACGATAAAATTTACGAAAAATTGTTTTGTTTTGCAAAATTTGGTAATAAAAATAAAAAATAAATTAACCCCTTCATAAATGTATTTTATGTTGAGCAGGAATAAAATAAGCTACATTAAAACATGTAAATAAGTTATTATTTATTGTACAAACATCCATACAAGATTCTTTATATGGTTAATAAGCTAAAGATATTAAAAAAGACGCTTCATATGATTCAGATCATATTAATGAATAAGTTTAAGGTTTATGCCTAAAATAATTTCTTTAATTTTCCAATAATATTTAAATTGTATAATCCAGTATTTAAATTGGATAAACCAGTTCAACCAAACTCGCCAGGAAAACCACTAATTCACCCGTTTCTTGAAGCAGGAATAAAATTCCTCTTAAATTGACAACGTGACTGGTGTTTTTGCCGGAAAGGTAAACAAGGATTTCTTCATAATTATATTTTTACTGAAAGATAATGGACTAATTCCTTCATTGCAAATAAGCCCAATTAGAACCTTTTTTTACAATCACATATACGTGCTTGTGAAGCAGGTGTATGAAATTCATAAAATTATACTAGCAAATTTTTCACATGCTTAGTTACGTGGTGTCTCATGAAATCGTCAAAAATTTATGTCGGCGATTCGTTAATTGTTCATGCAAAATAACTAGCTATCAGGTAAATCTTTTGCTGTAACATTCCATTAACATGAGGTTTCCAACGTCTAAAATAATTTGTTTTCGTAGACCGCAAAAATGTGCATGTGCATTTTAAATAATTAAGTAATGTTTTTATTTTTATTATTGGTTATTGTCATCGAAAATTCTGAAGAATAAATCAATTTTTATGGCGTAAAATTTTAACAACATAATATATTGTTAATGCTTTTCTAACAATACCTTTCAGAGGATGGCAGGTGTGACATAAATAGATGATTAAATTGAAATAAAAAATATGATTGATTATCTAAGGATGACAGAATAGTTTTGATGCATCACCATGGTCATCAAAATTAGCAAACCACTGCTGGAGTAAGGATATATTGTTTTCTGTGGTTAACTGGAATTTAAGACAAATTTTTTTCGTATATCACCTTTAACCGGTTAATTTCAGTATATTAATACTAATTTGATATTTTTTAAATGAATTTTATTTTCGTTATAAATGCTCTTATGCTTAATATATTCTTTTCTGTACTAACTTGAATTTAATACAATTTTCATATATCACGTTTAACCGGTTAGTTTTACATCTACAAGCTTATTACCTGTTAATTTTTACTACAATATGCTTAATATATTGTTTTATCTGCTAACTTGAATTTACATGCACTAAAAATTACGTTTACGGCTCGCTCGGCTCATCGTCGATGAACCGCAAGCTTGGTGAGTAAAAATGCAACGGGTTCTTACCCGAAGCGCCAACGGGTTCTCTGCGGATGAAAACCCCAAGCAAATACTGAAATATCTGCATACCAGACACACAGTTTTGTTACAGCTTCGCCTTTTATTCGTCAAATTATTATTATTTTTTTTTCCTGTTAAGATTTTCATTTAACACCTCAGGTTTAATCACCTCAGGTTTTCTTCAATCCTGGACGCTGCCCCATATGTAAATAGAAATATAGTTTTGTCCATCCCGGATATATGGCAATCCTAGCAATATCTCAACATTTCGGTACAGTCTACCAGTAGCTAAATTTCTAAAGCATTGGTTTTTTCTTTCTAAATTCAGTTCTTGCTGAGCAAATGAGTTAGTTGCATAATGTTGTCATAATTTTTCTGATAAATTAAAATTTCATAATTTTAGATAATGAAGTAATTAAAATACAGTGTTTTATAGAAATGCCGTAAAGCCAAATATTTAGACCTTTTTTGAAAAGTATTTATGAACTATAATTACCTCCTTTGAAGATAACCAATGTTCTTAAACTTCTTTTCATGAGACATACTAAAGAGTAATACATTAGTTAATTAATTATGTGCAGTCAAAACAAAAAAAAAAAAAAAAAAAAAAAAAAAAAAAAAAAAAAAAAAAAAAAAAAAAAAAAAAACAAAAAAAAAAACAAAAACAAAAAAAAAAAAAAAAAAAAAAAAAAAAAAAAAAAAAAAAAAAAAAAAAAAAAAAAAAACAAAAAAAAAAAAAAAAAAAAAAAAAAAAAAAAAAAAAACTTTTTCGGCGTTTGGATTATCGATATAGATCATCAATTTAAATCTCGTAAGATGGCATGCAGAAATTCTAAATTAAAAATATGAACCGTAATTTATGAAATAAAGAAAAATTATTATCTAGGGTATCAAAAATTTAAAAAAAAAAAGCTTACTATTTATTTGTTTTATTTATTAAACATTCTTTCAATGTAAGTTGTTTAAGTTGTTCGTTTTATGTGATAATACTTTCTCTTTAATTCTATAAAACAGACATAATCTTGTTCAGTTACAAAGTTTCGCTGTTCAAGTCCCATTAATTGCTGTGCCGAGAATCCAACTAACTTGTCAATCGAAATTTTTTCGTTTTCACTAACCTCTCTGTCACATTCTTCGTGTCTTTATCATTTTTTGCAGCAATTCCACTTTTGTTTGTTGGACATCGAAAACATACTTCGTTTTGTAGATCCTTTGGAAGTTCCAGCATCGGAAATTCTATTTGACATAACGAAAGTTCAAGTTTACTTTATAAAATTGCTCTTACAGTCTGAAAAAAATAATAAGCGGGATCCAATTCGAAGATTAAGGAACAACGCTATCATTAACTTAACTGAATAGATAATTAGATAATTCCATTATACTTAAACGCCAGGCGAAATGTATTCTGCACTTGCGCAAACGCATATGCGCAGTAGTCAAGGTCTTATGGGCACACGTAAAACGCCTGTGCGCATGTGCCAATGTGGCACATGCGCAGAAAGTTTTCAGCTTTGAGGTCTGGATTATAGATCATTCTGTATTATGGGTGTCCGAATTAACGACTTTTGACTGTATATTATTTACCTGACAGAAGGAATGGCGGTTCTAGTGTAGTATTGGCCCTTCGATTACAGAAATTTTTTTTTAAAATTTTGTCGATGAAACTTCACTTCTGATTACCATGATAATTTTAATTTTGTTTTAGCTTCCTGATTTTATTGATGTGTACATGGACAAATTTAAGGCAGTGTGCAATGCATAGTTTGTGCAATTCTAGGATGTTTTTTTAAGTGAAAACGGATCAGTGTGTACATGGACACAGAGTTTGTGCAATTCTTTGACTTCTTATTTTGGTTTTATGTAGTGGCCATCTTGAAATTGTGCCTTCCTGCCGTTAAAAAAGAAGGGGCACCCAATTGTAAACTTTTACCAAATATTTTATCAACTGTTCTGCAGTTTTAAAAATGATGATCACAAGTATGTTCTACAACATTAGGTAAATTTGCCAATCAATTTGGTTAATTTTTTAAAAAATAGTAAACATACCTTACATCTTAGGATAAGATGCCTCTCTGTCATAAATTCTTTTGTTTCTGAAAAAGAGGCATGTATCTGACTGCAATTAAACCTGATAGAGTTATATTCACAATCATTACTTGAATATTATTCCATTGACCATGAAAGTTGGTTACTATCAAACCATGAAAATTGTCTGAGATCCTGCTAAAGTTGCATCAGTCAGTCCTGCAGAACTCTGAAAGAACTGACATCTCTTTATTTAATAAATAGTCGGTATTCAACCCACTTTTTGTGCTTTGTGAAAACCTTTCGTCAATATCTAGAATTTTGTTAGGCTTGGAAAATAATCCACAACTTCGTGCTTCATGTTCAAACAGATACCAAATTTTAGTCATTCCTTTTTTTCAAAATGCAAGGGAAAATATAGTAGTAACGGTTAATTTATATCCCTGTTCATAAAAACAAAAGATAGCTTATTGTGATTTATTCATGGGTACAACAGACAGTGCAGATGTTTTGAGTGTGTTGTTATGTCACACTTACTCATAACTGATGCTAAATCATACTGCTTGCCAGTAAGGCTAAAGTGCAGAATCGCCCACTTCTTTATTTGGCGTTTGTTTGGCACTTTTTACAAGAGTAAGAATTGGATTTTTGTCAATTTTCTTCGACTTTTTAAGTGAAAATAGGTCGATGTGTACATGGATAAAGGCAGTGCGCATTGCCATTTTTGTGCAATTCTGGGATTTTTTTATAAGTGAAAATAGGTCAGTGTGCACATGGATACCGAGTTAGAGCAATTCTTAAAAACGTGCCAAGCAGTGGGCGATTCTGCACTTTTCCCGCCGGTAATTTCATAGTCGATACATAAGTACCTCCATATCTATACTGAACTAATTTTTTTCCCTAAATTTTACATTCACTTGTTTGGACAAATTTGTTTGGTCAGTTGGACAAATGTGTATATTTTCTTTTTTATACAGTACAAATCCCAGAATTTGTACATCTAATATCTGGACCTGTGGATCATCACACAAAAGAAAAAGATCTTCCCTTCCCATTAAAAAAACGTAAGGATGGACAATATTATACTCAATAAAAATAAGCAGATGTACCATAAATGTGGTTTTTCTCCTGAATAATTGAGATTTCTGCATGTCACTTTCAAACACCTGCTGTCTAGGGAATTGCACCGTGGCCAGTGACAATATATTGATGTTGACCCATGATCCCACTTTCGGACTTGGAGTGATTGTGGGAGTTAGCATTTTTCTATCTGAACTAAACAATAAGTAAAATCCCAATATTGTTATGAATGTATGTCATCTTGCCATATGTACTGATGATCTAAAATCTGGACTAGC